CCCCCCCCCCCCGCTGAGTTCTACTCCCTACCTATTTGGGGCAACATAGGGAAATGGTACTCGACACACTTGTGTGTCGGTGCCTTTCCCTGTGTTGTTCCTTTTCTAGTCTTTCCTACCCGGCGGTTTAAGACTAAAGTCCCGCTCCCTAACTATTGCACCTAATTAAGACCTGCTAAGTAGTCAGTAACTAATTCTTGTTGAAACCTTCTGTTGATCGGACCCAGCACTTCTTTCCGTTCCCTCAAGTCAAGCGCTAAGTATTCAGTAACTAGAGTGCTAGGTAGTCAGTAACTAGAAGGTTTTGTAACTAGTGGGCCTCGTAACTACCCCTATCATTTCTTCCCCTCTTAGCGCTGCTCTTTCTGTCTTTCTTTCCTTTTGTTTCTAAGGCTTTTTAGGTGACTATTTAGTTTTCTCACATGCGCGCCGAAAAAGCGCCGAAGCCGGCGACCTGTGTGTGTCCACCCCTGGACAAAGGGTTTTCCACCGCTACTCCTTCCACAGTTTTTCAACCACCTTTTTCAACCACCTTCCACAGGCAGGGGGGCAGAGAGGACTTGCAAGGCTCTGCCCAACGAAGCTCTTTGCAAGATCCTAGGAAGCGGAAGCTGATCACTTCCGTGTACCTGCTCGTTCTTTCACAAGCTGTTACTCCACTTTTCCACTTCTTGATTCATGGTTCTTCACGATTTCCACCCCATAAACATTCGTCCCCAGCAGCTGTGCAGCCGGTTCGCTTTCCGCCGCTTGCGAGTGCCAACATTGTTCAACAATACTGTTTCAGCTGACCTTTCCACCTTGCTGTTCCATCACCTTCCTTCCCAACGTGGTAACTGAGTCACTGAATACAAGTGTCAGAGTGTGTTTTTCCTCAGTCGGGCCTTTGTAGATGTTATGGGTCCAGTACACACCCAACACCCGGTGGAACCAGGTTTTTTTCAGGCCAGTCCCGGTGCTTCGGCCCCTCGAACTGAGCAGCTCGAACTGATGACCGATGCAGCTCTTTTCTTGGGGAAGGTTTGTTTTTTTTTCAGCAGGAAGCGAGCCAAATGAAGCAACACCCAGTTCTCCTACACCGTCTTGGGGGATTTGGAGTCATCCAATCGATCCAATGAGCCCTTCATCCACTCAGTCCTCGGTGCTACGGAAAAGCGGCTCCACCGAGGTTCTACGATCGCACGGACCTCTTCGACGATCCAGACGAGAAGACGCGAGAAGAGCCGCGAGACGTCTCGTCGCCGCGAAGACGATCTCAACGGTGAGACGACGTGCGACGTTTGATTCACCGTCCATCCTTGGAAGGCGCCAGACATGGAGGACATCCCAAATCCATTCTTGTTTGAGGGGAGCACTATTGTTATAAGTCACAACAGTGATGTTGCAACATGATCTTCTAATTCGTGTCCCGAAATGTGAACATCTTCTGTCCAAGCTCTTGGCCCATATGTTCCGGCTCTATCCCGGGATATATCCGTTTTTCTGGTCTCCCAGTTTGCCCAGCATCCTGAGAGAAAAGACTGCATCCGAGTTCTAAGAGGTATAGCTTGCTTGGTGGGCAAACCGCGGTAACACCCGCTGGTGTTCTTCGTGAGTTCGGTGGGACGAGAGACGCTGTAGAAAACCAAGTCAGACAGTACCGAAATTTGGCAGTGACCAATTCAATGACAAGACTACACTGAGATAGGCTCAAACATGACTAGACCAATTGCTTGGAGGCCTGACTAATGAAAAATACATGCCCAGTTTATTCGATATACTGTCGAACTTGATTCTGAGGCCCTGGTTGGCCTCTGAGTGATGTGTTTTTCGTACGTGCACCACCTCTGTGAACATACTCACCCGGCAAAGCCGTACCTTGATAACTGCACCCTTTTGAATTTAGCACACACTTTGCGCTGTGGTGCTGGACGCTCCATAGATTCATGGCGCATCACTTTTGGTCATTTGTAGACTACTTGGTTTTCCCCACTGTGTTTCTGCATGTGGGGTATCTACGTATGGTGTGGAACAGAGTGTCCCCCATACCGTCGACACGCTTGACTGTCCGACGCGAGAGGTATATATATATATATTTATTTGTTGCTCGGGTTTTTGCTCATGCAGTCCTTCCCCCATCCAATCAGGATCCTCTCCTAACCTCCAGAGGCTTTCACGCCTTTGCTCGACTAAGAGCCAAGAGTGCTGTCATTGTCCACTGTTAGCAGGCCACGGGACCCATCGAACATCTTTGCCGGCCTTCCAAGATGGAGACATTTTTCTGCGGGTGTCGAACAACGCACGGTGTCGATGCCACCGGTGTCGTTGCCCGAAGTGACAGAAAGCAGCACGGCTGATGAAGTGAAGTCATCAACGCTCAGCGACTTGGTTGACATGTCAGGTGGGTCCGTTTTGCAGCGACTTGGGGACCTCAAAGTCTCCAACCTTTGTGGGAGTCAAGAAAGAAGGTGCCACGCATGCACAGCGTAGCTGCGTAGCTCACCAAGCTCTACCCAGAAGGGCCGTAGAGACTCAAGAGATGTCCTGTTGAGTCCAGGTTCTATATGACCGAGTCAAATGTCGCCATTCGGTCAACAATCAACAAACATATTGAAATTTCTGGGTGAACTCTTCCAGCCCACCTTGGCTGGATAAGTGGCTAGGATGAACCACCAGCTTAGCAAATGAAGCGACTCGTGCGATTCATCGTCGTCAGTTCTTTCTGTTTGGTTCTGGGACTGGGAATAGAACTGACGTTCTGGGAGCAAGATCTTTTGGTTTTTCGTACATCGGAAGACATCGGAAGATGCTCATTTTGGTACATCGCCGCCCGGGAGCGTTGAAGTAGATGGTGCCTGCGGCGGGTTATTCGCAGCTCACCGCAGCTCATGTTTGCCCTTCTGGCCATGAGGGGATGATTCAGTAGGCAACATGTTGGACGATCAGGACTCCTTTTACAACAGTTGCCAAATGCCTGGACCCTACCCAACCAAAAGTGCCGGTAGACCAAGAACCCCTTGGGGTTGTCATGGAAGACTTTGAAAGAACCCAAATTGTGTGTTCCTTGTAAGGTTTGCTGCAGCAAATCAGAAAATCTCTGTGCCGCAAGTGCTGATGATCGCACAGCCACCTGTGTTGATCTTTGCATCACCCCCGCGTACGCGGGAGATCGCCAAAGGAAGCGACGTGTGACACCCTCACATGCTGCAGCTGATTGGCCGACTGTTTGCCAACTGCATAGTACCATAGCTAAATTCAACTGCACTGCATAAAAACAAAGTAAGTGAAGTAATGGTGTCCTTCAGATCACACGGATTGTTTTCAGATCACTTGGATTGTCTGTATGTGCCAACCAAGAGTAGATTCCAGAATCTCTTTGATCAGAATCTTCCCAAAGCAGACCGAGATGCCAAAACCACGGTTCTCCATGGATGCGAAACTACATGAAGCTACATTCCTCATTTGCGAAACTGATTCTCCAATCACCGAGCGGAAAACGACATTGGAAACGGTGCTCGTGAATTGTAGGGGGCAGTACACCACTGTCCCCATAGGAACCTATAGAACCATCAATATTGTCCACTTCGACCACCCAACTCATGGCTCCTGTCTTGCCTGGAGCAAGCCTTTTTGGATGGACATCGCCAGGTGAACCATGTCTTTCCATGAGAGATTCCACAAAAATGAGTGGCCCTTTGCCCGGCCATTTGTTCTTCCACATCATCCGTGGATCGCCCCTATAATCATCCGTGGCCCATATAGTTCATCCACTTTGGGGTGATTCTTCGCCAGTCTTGTCACGACGCCGGACAGACTCGTGCTGCACATGGACGTTCGTGTCAACGTGGACGTCACAGGCCTTAGCTGCCGCAGCAGAATTGCGTTGAGCACTGGTTGCAACAGCTGGTGCAGTGCAAACAGCCACTACCCCAAGCGAGGAAGTGCTACCCCAAGCGTCCCTTACTTCACAATTTCCATTAAGGTCCCAAGAACTTTCTAAAAGCCTTTGATGTGGAGACTCGACGTTCAACAACGAGAATGAGGTACTTGAACTCCTGCAGGGTGCTGAGATCCAGAGCGACTATACATCGAGAATTCAATTGTTGTTGCATGATGTTTCCGCCAAAGTTTGCCTTAATCTACTTGAAGTCATCGACGTGATTCGATCTGACGATTCCTTGGAAGAATACGCTTTCTCTCGTCTAAAGGAGCTGTTGCTGGACCACGAAAGCCTTGGTGACCAAGGTGTTTTGTATTGTTTTGTGGTTAGGCCACACGGCGTGATGGGAAACCTGGTTTGATCACTACCCGAGAGAGGATCTCCGAGATCCGCTTGTAAACTGTAAACAAATATGGCGCTAGGTTGCATGTGATCAACAATTCACAGTCACACGGGGTGAGGTTTCCCATCCCAGATTTTCTCGTCAGAATCGTGCCCCAAAGCCGGGTGCGCAGGAGTCTTGCTACGTGCATTGCACGCGCGTCAGCTTGAAGTGCGCGCGTGAAGCGGGCGCTTAAAAAAAACACACACACACACAATAAAGAAGATGTGGATTGGTTTAAATTGATGGTGAGTCATTGCATGATATACACGTGATGGTCATTTAGGAATGAACATAATGACACAACATTATTCCACACCTCTCAGGTGAGGGTTGTTAGATTATAGAAAAGAATCCCGTGCCTTCTCCGGCAGATCGCAGTGGGCACTACCGGACCTCATCAGCAAAGGGCAGATCGCAGTGGGCACTCCCGGACCTCAACAGCAAGCGCCAGATCGCAGTGGGCACCCCTCGACCTCAACAGCAAACGCCAGATTGCAGTGGGCTCTCCTGGACCTCAAGAGCACACGCCAGATCGCAGTGGGCACCCCTCGACCTCAACAGCAAACGCCAGATTGCAGTGGGCTCTCCTGGACCTCAAGAGCACGCGCTAGATCACAGTGGGTGTGTTCAAAGGCCAATGCTCTTCGACAACAGCTGAGCAGCTGATGCCGTTCTTTAGCAAGCAAATGGCTTAATTAGTTTCAAGTTATGAGGCTGTTGGGCTTGATGTTTAAAGTAAAAAGCAAGCCATTACGTGTGTTTACCAGGTGAACCTGCAGCTGTTGCACGCTGGCGCGCGCTCACGAGTTAGTTTTGCAGTTTTGCTCTATGATGTTTATGCGAGGCATTTGGCTATTCTTTGTGACAGGTATATAGAGGAGGGCAAGAGGGCTATAGCATGTTTATACATATACCCTGCACAGATTTTGGAAGGAACAACTTCACTCGGTGTCCATTATGGATGATCTCAATGATCTCTTTGTTGAGTACACTGCCATTTTGTGCTTACCCTGCCCGGAACATTGAAAGTTGAGTATCACCCACCCGGAAGGCTACTGACCGAGAGTTTGCAAACCCTGCAGATGGATAATGGACCAAATTGGTGCTTTTTCGGGAGAATGAACACCCAGACCCAAGCAAAACCCGACTCCAACCCTGCAGTCTGAAAAGTGATGCACGTTTGGGAAAATGCGCTTCCGCCCCTAGGTGGATAGCAGGTCGTTCCAATTGCTGGAAACTCTTCGAATAACCCCTTGGAATTGCAAACGACTGAGAACTGGTGATCCATGAAACCTTGTCACCAACTACAACAGCATTGAAGTGTAGATCAATGTAGATCATGCAGCTACTCCCAACCTCCAGCAAAAGGACTCAGTGTCCACCTCTCGACCGCCTCTTATCCGACGCCTCGACCAATCCTCGACTCGGCCATGGATGGCCACTTTCGACTGGGCGTTACCGGCGACCCGCAACGATTGGCTGCAATGCAACGGACTCAGTGCCTTGGGCCAACAGCGGTAGCCCGCGCTACCGCGCAAGGCAGACCGGTTCTGACCTTGGGGTCAGGTCGGGACGGGCAAGACAATGGGGGGGTTTTAATGGGGTACCATAGATGTGGACGGAGTTATACTGGATCGAGTGTCCTTCATTTTTGTCGGCTGCCAATGGTGTTCGATATGAACCTTTGGATACTTTTTAGCCAGATTTCGTTACAAGGTGTTACAAGACACTTTCCTGCAAGTCGCTCCTTATTATGTATACTGTAGATGTGTTTTTGATCATTTCGATCCATTTCTTGTTTATGGAATCCTGGAATTTCAGGACGCCTCTTGTGCGGAGGAAGTAAGTTTAGCAGCAAGAGATGGGAAAAAAAGACTGGAAAGCACCAACAATTGGAGGAGTGTGCTTGCCAGCAGGTTCTGCAAGCTTGCAGCAAGGATATGTGGATATTCAAATCAAATATAAAGTATATCCCTAGGGATCCAAGTACCTTCTCAGAAGGTGATTGGAGACCAAATCATTTCAAGCACTATTCAAGACAGGTTATATTCTGAAGTACGTTATATATTAGTCAATAATATATATTTTGGGGATTTCTGACCAATCCATTTCAACGCTGCGAGGTTTCTATTGCCCCATGACCAGCCGCATGCGGAACTGGGGCGACCTGCGGGAGAATTTGCAGCAACACATCCGACTGCTGACCGACGAGGCGGATCAGGTCCGTTGTCTCTGGGGTTTTGCGGCAAAAACGGTCCGTGATTGTGTATGTTTCATTCGCGTTCGGGATCCACAAGCCTTCTCAATAGGTATGACTGGGCCCTGTCTTGCTCACCTCCTAAGGTTCGGTACGAGACCCAGTTGCGCCTGGGATGACAGGTTTCCATCTGGGTGAATCCCTGCTGAATAGATGTGAATCATGGTGAAGCCCGGTGTGATTTCCCGGTGCCTGGACCAAATCCATCTTATATACCCCTAAGGATCCAAGTACCCTCTGAGAAGGTGGGACTGGGGTGGGTTTGGAGGGTCCAAGTACCTTTTGAGGATGTACTTGGATCCCTAGGGGACATGGTATATGAGTCTATATATGATCGCGATCGGTGATGGTTTTGGATATATTTGTTTTCCCACCCTTACTTGGGGATGATTGGACCCTCTGACTAATATATGTTCAAGTGGGTGAAACAAACACCAATCAGATCGGAATTCTTGGGACATTAGAGATGAATTACCTGAAACTCAGCTTTGCAGCCGCATTCTTTCGGCATCCAAGATGATCCAAGATGACTTTGGGTCACCTTTCCCACCAAACCGCGCGGTTTTTCCAGAATCTGTTCCTGTGAGGGGTCAACCCGGTGGTGATAGACCAAAGACACTTCACATCGACATGTTCGTGTGACCGTCCTTGACTTCCTCCGGCCCGGCATAACTTCCATCCTCGATTGCTCCCGTCTTTGCTCATTCAGCCTGCGGCGCCTGACCGACCATCCACTGCAGGCATGGCCTCAAGAGGTCCGCGAGGCGCGCCAGAGCTTGTTGCGCCCCTCGCTGGCGGCGGGCTGGTCCCTGACCGAACATGCGGCCCTCACCAGGTGTGCTGGCCGCAAGAGCGTAGAGGGATCAATAACAAAACAAATAGGTATCAATAAAAAAATAAGTAGAGATCAAGACAACAACAAGCAGGGATAAAAAGAAGCAATAGAGAAGAGAGAAAGGAAAGAAAGAAAGAAAGAAAGAAAGACAGAACGACAGAAAGAAAGAAAGAAAGAAAGACATAAAGAAAGAACGACAGAAAGAAAGAAAGAAAGACAGAAAGAAATAAAGAAAGACAGAAAGAAATAAAGAAAGAAAGAAAGAAAGAGAGAAGGAAGGAGGGAAAGAAAGAAAGAAAGACAGAAAGAAAGAAAGAAACACAGAAAGAAAGAGCGAAAGACACAAAGAACGAAATAAATTGAAGTAGACATTGAAGTAGAGCAGTGCTTACATGAACTGCTTGCAGGACGCATTATAGGCAATATTCAGGTGAGAGCTAGGAGCCATTCGAAGGTAGCAGACCTTTTTGTGAGCCACCTGGAGGAGGGAAGCGGCCATTCCAAGGTAAGCCTTCCGAGGGCAAAACTTGGAGGAGGAAGGCGTCAGTCCTTTTGTGAGCCGCCCAAGAACCAAATTTAGAGGAGGAAGGAGCCACGCCAAGGTAGCGCGCCTGTGGCTCACAAAGGAGGCAGGCGCCAGAGCGGGCAAGGGAGTTATTTTTTGAGCGCGCGAGTGAGGTGTGTGCATTGGCGTCGTCATAATTCAGTAGGCGGCGCGTGCTGCCGAGATCGCTTACTCAAGTCAGCCAGTGAGTTGCAAGCCAACCCCGACAAAGACCGCTGAAAGTTAGAGAAGCAAATATCAAGAACGCCCAGACACAACCAACTGCACACAGCAACATCCAAGCGCGGACCTGTCCTCCAAACTCCCACGAAAACGGCATTTTTGTAAAGGTCCACCACGCTCTATTTTATTGCCCAGCGCCCTACTTCTCCTAATGCCCTTTGCTTGCTACGCCAGCTGATTCTCTTAAGTGTCAGTCGTGCTCCCGAAGTTATTTCGTCCAAAAAATTACTCGCTCACTCCGCCTTGCGGCCATTATATAGGTCTAAGATGCTGCAAATAGCTGCGCGTTGTGCCCCCTAGATATTGAAAAATAATGAAAACAATTGACAACGAATTAAAAGCCGCGCGCTTCGGTCGCCAGAAAGGAGAGATGCAGCCTTGGTCGCTTGCTACATGACGTTACAACTGGCAAGTGGTAGAGCGAAGACGTGCCGGAATCGTCCCCAGGGCCAGTTCAATCCAAGGCAGTGCCAGGCAGAACGATGCACCAACAGAAAAACACCTGGGCTTCGAAGACTAGAAGGAGAGAAAGACACCAACGATCTTTGCAATATGACCAGCAACACCAAACCCGTTCCAGAGAAAGAGAAGACAGAAAACAGACAGAAGAAAAATCATCGCGGATGCTGTAAGCAAAGTCACTTAATTTGTTTACTTTCGCAGCCATTTGCCAATCTGCCAATTGCGACCCCAAGAGACTGCAGCAAGCGCCTCAGGGCCAGGTTTGTTCTGTCCTTTTTTATAAGAGGGATGCTGCTCTCAACTGGCTGCTCTCAACTGCTTCAGGCACTTCGTTTGAAACATGCCAGCCGTGTCATTGCCAAGTCCTCAGCTAGTGTCTTCGCGCTGCATCTTGCAAAAAGAACATTTACCGCTTGGTGCACTCAGGTTGTCCTCTCCACTCTGGCTGGGTCCTTCGTATTTGGCCCCTCGTTGCTCCCTTGCTTGTGCCCGTGAGACTGCAGTTTTGTTTGACGCCGTCACTTCCTATGAATCTTCTGCAATGGCTCGTGCTGGTGATGTCTTCCTGGTGGATTCTGCTACTACTCTTACTGACGGCTTTTTCATGGTTTCTGTCCAGTGCGGTGCTGTTGAAGCTCGCTTCCTGAAGCTAGCGTCCTCCAAGGATCTCCAAGTGAACCCTGGCCTGGTTGTTCTGGACTTGGATGTCCCGTCTGCCCAGCGTCCACCTTGTCTGGCGCGCCATGGTTCCTTCTCGGCTCGTTCTGGCTTTCCGACCAAGACTGCAGTCGGACCAGGATGCATTCCGTGGGATTCCTCTTTGCGCCCGGTTTTGTATCCCGGTTTACCTGCTTGCAAGATCCACAGGCCCAAATCCGTTTTGCTTTCGTCGCATCCGCAAGTGGCTCCTCTTTGGACTTGTCGCTCGATCATGAATGTTTTAGGTCCCCACGCAGCACTCTTCTGGCACCTGCCTGTGCAGGAGCGGAATCGCGCAGCGCGAGCTCTACTGCCATGTTTTGGTGCAAGCCAGCCCTCTGCCGCGTCGCGACTCCAGCGATTGTCTTTGGACTGCTCTCATCGCGCCCTGCCTGGTTCCTGCGTGTTTCCTTGCGTGCCGGGTTGGCTGTTTTGCCCGATGGAAAATGGTGCCGCTTCCCATTGCTGGTGGATTTCGCACGCTGACCTCACAAAGCAAAACCCTGCACATGCAATTCAGGAAGTTTTGAAAGCCAATGTCTCTGCAGATGTAGTGGGTCCAGTCACAAGCACACAGCACATTCAGATTGCAGTCTCCGCTTTGCACCGTTGGTACCCACAGGGCCTCTTGATCCTACATAAGCCAGCGAGGTCCTGCTTGTTGTTTTTGCCCGGGCATGATGCTCAGCAATTTTCCCTCGTGGAAGCTGGGCAATGGCTGGATGCGTGCCCCCAGACACTCGCTATGTTATATACACAGAAGCATGCCCATAAACTTGGGCATTATGTGGCTTGCAAACTACATCGCGCTAATCCATCGTGCCTGCATAGTGGAATTTCGCCGAAGGTTGAAGCTGGATTGCGTGGTAGTGGAATCTTTACTGATCCCGTAACACCTGTGCCCGAATCCTCATGTCCTACAATGTCAAGCTCTTCGCTCCCGTTGTCGCAAAGCGGTGTTGCCACCGGTTTAGGTGTTCGAGCAGAAGGTGGTTTGGATGTTGACAGCCCTGCCTGGACGGGCGAAAACGAGAGGCCTTGCGAAAATCCATGCTGTCGAATCTGTTTTGGGTCAAGGTTTCCGCTCCGTCGCGCATCCTGTTCAGCAGCGATGTCAACGGCGGCGTTCACTTTGCCCTCAAAAGTTTTGCCCCAAAGCCTGCCTGCTTCTCATGTAAGTCCTGCTTTTGCGTCTTTCAATGTGCCTGCTTGTGTTCCTACCGTGTCACCGACATGGCCCTTTGATGTTGAGGAAGCTACCGTGTCACGGTCCGAGTCTGTCTCCTCTCCAGCCATGGGAGAGCCAATCTTTTCTGGCCCTCTGGAACACTGCGTGCACCGTCAGGCTTCTGCAACTTGGACTTCTTTGCCTTTCTTCCCAAAATGGTTGCCCAAGACAATGCAACATCGTCATGAGGTCGCTTCCAATTCTTTGCCTTTCTTCCCGAAGTGGCGTCCAGCTACGGAGAACCTACCAGAAGCTCATGGAGGCATGATTGGGGACACACCACCTCCAGTGCACGCGTCGTCGTCCACATATTGGAACCTGCTAGTTGTGGGTGTCCCGGCTCCAATTGCTCGAGAAGCGGCCCGTCGGTTTTGCGACGATTTTGACGCTGCCTTGGATTGGGCATGTGCGTCTGACAGGCGGCACACGCGCGTTGAACCAGGTTACATTGATCTTGTGCATTCTGCCAGTGAGGATGGTTCTCCATGTCCCGGTGTGCCAGTAGCATCTCCTGATGCGCTCCCAGCTCCTGCTTTGTCATTGGCCGACGTTCATGTTCCAGCTCTCACTTCTGGTGTCGGCGCTCCTGCGCTGCCGCTTGTGCCTAGACCTCCTGCTTCTTGGACTATGCATACACCTTCTTTTGCCGCTTCCGCCGAACTCGGTCGTTTGCACAGTCGCCATGGTGCTGCTTCCTCGCACGCTGCTGCCAGTGACAAGGCGGAAGAGACCTTGACTTCCGGTGATCAGGACACCCTGCCCGGGCGCATGGGCATGGCCTGCTATGTTGACGACCCCGCTGGGGAAGTGCATGCGTGGTTCTCCATACTTGCCAATTCCAAAGGAGACGCTGGCTTGGACAGTGGTTTTTGGGGTAGGATGCCTCTATATTCTCAATACATCGCAGAGCATAGTTTATGTGAAATTTTGGTCGAGTCTTTGAAATCTATTCAGAACCTTCGTGGATTGGATTTGTCCATTGAGCAAGCCGCCAAGTTTCCGCGTTCTCTTGGCCAGACAACTCTCCTTCCTTTGGCAGTAGCGTGCGAATACTTGCACGAAGGATGTGGCCTCCCGGCCATTTTTGCTTTCGATCTTTTCCGAGCTTGTTTGGCCTCTTGTCAGAACAAGGCTCTAGAGGTCGCCCTGTACGCGGACAAGTCAAAATCATTCACATGCAAAGCGCGGTGGTGGGCATGCCCCACCGGCGATCCAAACGCGGGGAAGTCTCCGACGTGTGCCTTTGTGATGAAAGCCTTTGCTAGCATGGTGGAATCCTTGCCTCACGCGTTCTGGCCAGATCAGCATCGGATTGGTGTGGGGAACAACAACCGCATTCAAAACCGACTCCGAGCGTTGGACGGAACTCTTCTTCTGTATGGTCCTGAATCCAAACCCATTCTAGACCCAAATTTTCCAAGCAAGAAGACAGTGGACACTGGCAAGTTCTTGGACTTGACTAGGTGGCTTGAGTCAGCCAATGGAGGCCGCTTTGAGTGGGGGACTGGCGCCGAAGAGAACCTGCGACAAAAGCGCAACCCACCCATAGCCCTCGCTGGTCATGAGGCAGCTCCTGCCCCGCTCGTTTTCGATCCTACGAATATCAACTTGTGCCTCTTTCAGCAATTCAATTTGTTCGAAGATTGGTGGTGTCGTGTCGAGGCACTCCACAAGTGCGGCTTTAGCGCACGGGTGTTGATGAGCCCAACAGGGCGGGCCATCGTTGACAGGGAAGTTGGGCTGCAAGACCCTGCGTGTGTTGAGGATCTCATGGTTAAAATCTGTGCTCACACTGTGGAACACCATGGGCCGGATGCCCTGCCG